TGGGAAATCCTTCTTTGAAACGGTTTAAACCACTACTTGAACCCTAGAACATTTGGTAATCATTTGGTTATGTAATATTGTGAAAAATATAGGAAATGGTTTGGTAAGGTGTTTTTCTTTAAAAAGTTCACACCAAACCGGTTTGATCAAATTACCTCATAAACCCTTTTGAAACTTCTTGAACCTTTGGACTCTGACTATGGAGTAGTTGTGTCTTATTGACCGTGTAATTTGAGGAGAGGTCTTGTCTACGCTTGCATTTGGTGACGACGTATGTGAAAAAAATCCTGCCTACGTTTGCGTATGACGACGAGAAAAAGGGAGATATAACTACTTCTATCGATCAATATAAATTTTATATTTTTAAAGTTAAATCTTATGGGTTAAAATTGATTTTGAAAAAGGTATACTTTTTGCAAAAAATGTTCTTTTTTTCGATATTTTTGAGATATTCAGTATGCCATCGAGTATTTATATTATAACTTTTTTATCAACGGTCAAAAATTCTGATTTTTTGATATGTTGTAGAGCTTTTGATTCTCTATCAAATGATATCAAAAACATGAAAAAGTGACAATTTCTTGATGAGTTCCTCCCTATTTTGGGGAGGAAAAAAAGATAAAAAGAATTTTTTGAATTTTTTTGAAATTTTATGGGCTTTAAAATGAGCCTAAAAGAAAATTTTTTATTAAAGTTCTAGGGGTTTAAAATATTTTTTGAAGTACTGTATCTCCATTTCCTTGATCAAAATTAGAGGTCGGCAAAATCGCACTTCCGGGATCCCGAGTCGGGATTTGGATATAGTTTAGTATACCGGAGTTTTAGTTCCGATATAAGACCCATATAGATCCACCGATATCCCTCTAAATCTATTAGATTTTTACAAATTTAATCTTATTTACAGTAGTCGACATAAAGATAGGGACAGGAGTAATTTAAATGAAAATTAACTATTTTTCAGTCAAAAAATACGTTCTATATAGCAATCGAAAGCTCTATTCGTATCTCAGTTGACATGTTTCTGCATTTTTCATGAAATTGAAAATAGGCCGAGATAATCCGGATCTACCAGATATACCAAATCCTATATCCGCGGAAAAATTTTCTGAAAAAATTTGACAAACCCATTTGATAAAGCATATTTTTCTGAGTATTTTCCACAAAACCGCTTAAAAATATCTTTTTCCGGTCCAGAGATATGATTTTTTGAAAATGGCATTTTTCCCTTAAAAATTGAATTTTCAGGCTTGTGCATGGATACGGATAATATCCGGATTTTTAAATTTTAAAAATTTTTAAATTTTTAAATTTTAAAATACATTTTTCCAAGAGAAAATAATGGCTCTATCTTAGGACATGCGTCCCATGAACATTTATGCGTCCCATAAACAAAAAATTGGATTTTTCTTGGTGTTGCAAAGTTGAGGCATGGTTCCAAAGCATTTCTTCATGTTCGGGACCTACGCCCACTGGATCTGAGACCGTTCTTTACCCTATCTATCGAAATTTCTGAAAGTTAAAATCGTTTTTCTAAAATTTTTAAAAATGGCTATAACCTTCAGAAATTTCGAGAGATAGGGCAAGAAACGGTCCCAGACCCAGTGGGCGTAGGTCCCGAACATGATGAAATGCTTTGGAACCATACCTCAACTTTGCAACACCAAGAAAAATCCAATTTTTTGTTTATGGGACGCATAAATGTTCATGGGACGCATGTCCTAAGATAGAGCCAAAATAATTATATTCCCAACGCCAGGAGATAAAAAAAAAACGACATGCCCTGACTGGCAAACCCTGATCCCAACGATCCCGAACCCGAAGGCTCGGGGAGACCTGCTCAGTGCAAAATTTTTTAGAATTTTTAAAAGCCAAGAAACCAGATTTCATCCTCTTCCAGCGCCGCAGGCGAAAATTTAGAGAATTTTATAAGGCCTTAAGATCGGGATCCCGGAAAATCTCGTCGGGATCCTGTCCCGCGCCTACCTCTAATCGAAATATCAATGGAAAAATTCTAAAAAATCACAATATAAAAGCCACAATAAAATAGTGGCAACAAATTGTCCTATACATTACAGTACTCTGACTTTCACCACCGTGAAAATTAGAGATAAATAAATAAAGAAAATATAGTTGAAAAAGATAGAAAAACTAATAATTTAGTGGTTACATAAAAATCGCGCGCGACACGCGACAGTCGCTAGGCGACAAGACGCGCGCGACAGTCGCTAGTGGCGTGGTTACATAAAATCAGCGTTTGTCGCTTTGCGACAGTCGCTTTTGCGGAAGACGCCGATTTTATGTAACCACGCCACTAGCGACTGTCGCGCGCGTCTTGTCGCCTAGCGACTGTCGCGTGTCGCGCGCGATTTTTATGTAACCGTAGCATAAGGATTAAATTTGATGTGTACATTTATTTTAAAAAGAAAATTATGTCTTTATGTGAAAAGAAAATATATAAGACAAAAATTATTCCAATGACCAATATTTTCCCCAAGCAATCATGATTTCCTCAAAAACGTCTTTTTCCCCAATCATTTTTCTCCACATAAACTCGGCAAAATAACTCTCCAAATGATGTTACATTTAATCTTGTTTGATTGGTTGACAAGTGAAAGGAGAGAGTTAGGGAAAGAATTGACCATTCCGTACAATTGTGTCCGCAAAAATAGTCCGCAAAAGTTCGTAGGGATAACCCACAAGTACCGAATAAATTTAATTAAAAATTAATTTGAAATTAATTTAAAATTAATTTAACCTTCTTTTTAAGTTGATTATTTAAAGTAAATTTAAAAACTCCAGATTGAAGTGCAATGAATTTATATGAAATTGACTTTCGAAGGGAGTCAGAGTTGGTCCAAAAATAATTAAAATATAAATAGAAATTATTTAATATTTACTATTCCAATTTCTTTAAATTTCATTCGGAAGCACAATTCTCCCTCATATTTATTAATTAAATTGCAAAAATAAAAATTGGTTTGTCTAACAGAGGATAATTGGTTGAAATTAAGACATTTTAATATATCAAGTTTTGTCTCAATTGGAAGAGATAACATCCTTAATTATCTAAAAAAATCTTTAAAAAATAAAAGTTTAAAAATATTAAATAGATTACCAAACAATATTTAAATAAAATTTAGTTTAATATAAAACAATTTTTAATAAAGAAAAAATATTTAAACAAAAAAAAATCCCAACAATTATTTAACCTATTTTGAAGCAATATTTAAATAAATTTCTTTCAAATTCCCAGACATTGATTTTAATATAGGCTTCCTTCTCACTTCTTTTCCTTCTTCTCCAACAATTTTTCTTTTTCCTTCTTCAAATTCCAAAATTCTTTTTTGGACAGCCAAATCACTTTCTAATTCTTGTGCAAATTGTCTGTAATGTTTAATTATATCAAAACGCTTTAAACACATCAAATCTGCGTGCTGAAGAAATTTTCTTTTGAACCAGGGTGTTGAGCCAGTAAAGGAATCTTCGATACCGTTGACTTCGTATATGAACCAGGGCCTTAACCAAGGTGGTGGTTTGAGTTTTACCTAAAATTTTGGGGGAATGAAACAAATAAAAATAAAAATTTTTTTTCAAAATGTCGAAGTGGTAAATAAAAAATCTCTAAAAAAATTTTTCTCTATTAAACCTTCAACGGATTCACAGGAACAGGCTTTCCAACAGGATGACTAGTTGATTCCATATTAAAGCTAAAAGTGCTGTACTCTGGCAATGCGTCAACAAGGTAAGTGAGGTCCTCATCCAAACGTTTCTCTAACAAAAGCGTCTCAATTTTAAGAATTGTCGGATTGTAAATTTCGAACATTACTTCAACACCTAAAAACGTTTGAAAATGATTAAAGACGAATTAAAAGTAAAAATAAAATAAATATACAAAGAAAGGATTCGAACCCGGACCCCCCCCCCCCCCATCATGTTCAAACTCCACTTAACCAAGAAAAACAAAAATTAACCTAATCCGTCAATCACGTTGCGCAAAGTAAAATTGTGGTGAAGACCTTCCTTTTCTCGACGAATGCAAATACCCACAAATCTGTTTTGGCGTTGCTGTAAGTTTGGGTCAGACATAGTTACAGCCATAATTGAACCTTTAAAGAAAGAAAATTTTTATTTTTAAAATTTATTTTTGGAAGACTAACCAACATAAAACTCAGGAATATCAATCCTCAATCTTCTTTCCAACATGTCCGCATGAACAAGTTTTTGAAACAAAGGATCACGGCGAGTCCAAACTTGTGAAGGAAGGAAATCCATATAAGAGAGCCTTCAAAGAAAAATTTTTTTTGGAATTTTTGAAAATTTAAAAAAAAACTAACGCAAATTCCTTAACAGAAATATATTTTTCTTTAACAACAGGAGGACGCTTATTTATTGTTTTAGAAGGCTCTTCATGTTTTTCAGTAGATTTTGTTGGAAGGTAATCTTTTTGTTTGATTTTTGAAGCAGCGGAAGAAGCATTGTGTCGAGTAAAATAAGTAGATATATTTGAATACGGAGAAGATAAAATACGTAACATGACCTTAAAAAATATTTAAAATTAAAAATGAAAATAAGTAGAGAGCGAACTGGATCTGGATCCAGACCTTGATCTTTCCTGAATCTTAAGTCCAGGTCAAGGCATTTTTCAGAGTTCCTTGGTTTTTCCTTGACTCAAGGTCAAGAATCTAGTCAAGGTACCCAACCGAAATAAAGGACCAAGGTCAAGGTATTTTTGAAAATCTCCTTTCCAAAAATAAGTAAAGTAAAACTAAAAGAAAAGTAAATTAGGACTCTAGTTTACATAAAAGTCAGAGACGCAGAATTTTAGTGTATTTTAGAGAAAAAGAAGCGAAAATAGTTAAAGAAAATTAATTTAATTTTGGCATTATGTCTAAAACAAATTTAAACTTTTATCAAGAATTTATCTAATTCCTTGATTTTTAAAAATTTTTCAGACATTTTTCTACGTCATTCTCTACTTAAGTTTATAATTCTTTGCAAAAATGATTGAATCAAATTTCAATTTAAACGCCAAAGAAGCCGTAGAATGTTCTTTTAACTCCAAAGAATGGTCAAGGTTTTTTAAAAATATTTTTTTATTTAATTTTTCCTTATTTATTTTAGACTTCGTAATGTTACATGTTCATATTTGTCATTAAAAAATAAAATAAATTTATATACAAATCAACTAGAACAAGTTCTTTCTGAAGCTTCTACTTACAGAGATTATGTAAGGGAAATTTTTATTCTCTTAAAAAAGATTTTTTTAATTTTTTAATTTTCCTTCTATTAATTTCTAACTTCTAGTAGGGAATTTAGGTATAATTTCGGAATACAAAACAGACTCCGATTGGGACAATATATATGTAAATCGAAAGGGCTAGTCGAGCTGAGTCAAATGACATATAATATTTCCAAATAGGAGTCTTTTTAGTATTTCGAAATTATTCAAGAAATTTAAATATGTTTCGTATAAGCTACCTAATCTTCGAATTACTTTTTATATGATTCGGGAATTTCAGAATTTTCAAAATCTTATCACTTTTTTTGGAATTTCTCTACCCACCCCCCCCCCCCCTCATTTTAATTTGTGGGCAGAATCCTCCCCTTCTCTTTGAGATATTTGGCTTTATGAGATTTTAGATATGCACATTTGTTTCAGTTATTTCTCTGAAGGCACTCCGCATCCATTTGACTTTTTTTATATTTTTAAAATTATTATTTTTTCTTTTTCACATTTTTAGGCCTCCCAAATTCAAAATTTCAATGTTAAAGTATCTCTCTTAAATAAAAGAACAGTTTTGCTTCGTAATTCAATCCAAACATTAAATTTTAAAATAAATTCTATCGACAAAGAAAAAGCGGATGAAGACGAACAAAAAATGTTATTGACTTCAAAAATTGAAAATTTTGTTAATATTGAAGAAAATTTAATTATTGACAGGTTTTTAACTTTATTTAAATTAAAATTTAATTTTTACCAGAAAACAACTTTTACGGCTTCGAAACCAAATAATTTTTCGACGACGTTTTCTTTTGAGAGAACTCAGTCAAATATTTTTCCCTAAAGGACGTGAATCACGTCCTGCACTTAAGAAAAATTGTTTTTGTTTAAAATTTGATTTGATTAGAAGATTGCATTTGCCAAATGTTGCTGCCTGTTTTGGTATTTAAAAATTAAATTTTAGGAAAATTTTTTCTTAAATTTTCGGGAGGGCATCTTTTGAATAATTAAAAATCTAAAAATAATTTTAAAAATAAATTAAAAGATTAAATAAATTTTTTTCTCAATTTAAGGACATAATGCTTCTGAATTGTGTGCTGCTACAAGCTTTGTTGTCCATTTATTAAATTGTACAAGTTTTATTCTTTCTCATCCATTGAAGCATTATATATTTTTTAATGGATCCCGATCATATTTACAAACTCGGAATAAACTCGAAAGGTTTGGGGATTTTTTTTAAATTTTGATGTATTTTTAGTTAAAAATGTTTCTAATTTTTATAATTTATTTGGGAATACATAATATTCCAAAAAATATTTTTAAATTAATTTTTAGTCAGTCAAGTCAATAATTTTTAAATTTATTTTTATATTTTTTTTCAATTAATAATTTAAAAATTAATTTATTTTTTCTAGTTTTGACTTATTTACTTCCACATCAACAAAAATAATAACTAACCGCGACCATTTTGATTTTGCTTTATATTTATTGTGTGAAATAATTGTGCAATTACGTTCTGATTGTTTAATTAGAACATCAGAATTGGATAGACCTATTTATTTATTAAATCAATTAATTAATTCTTTTATTGGAATACACAGGTAAAAAGAAAATACAAAAAAATAAAAATCAGAATTTTGGGAAAAATACAGTCTTTTAAATCGTAAAAATAATCAGAGAAAGAAAATACAAAAATCAGAATTTAAATAAAAGAGAAATACAAAAATCAGAATTTTATTTAAAAGAAAATACAAAAATCAGAATTTTATTTAAAAGAAAATACAAAAATCAGAATTTTATTTAAAAGAAAATACAAAAATCAGAATTTTATTTTTTTAGTTTCTCCAATCCAGATTTTATTTTTTCCCCTTCAAAACGCCCATCTTCTTCAATTCTTTCCCCTTCTCTATGTGTTGCAATAAATAAAGAATGTGTTTCTCCGGTTGAAAATAAAACAGACCAATCACTTCAATATCTTGCCAATTATTTATTTCCTTTGATAGCATTATCTTAAAAATTTTTTTTATTTTTTAAAGTAAAAATTGTGTGATAAATTTATTTATATTTTTTTGTTATAGTTTTTAATTAAGCGTTGATTCTCGCTTTTTTTCTAAAAATTAATAAAAATTAATTTTTTTAGAATTATTTTTTGTTTTTTTTTTGCATTTAAAATATGGGAACGCCTGATGCATTTATAAACGATGACAACTTTGGCGATGTTTCTGTTAATAATTTAGTGGAAACTTTTGATGAATCAGAAGAACAAGAAGAATTAGTGGAACCTAGATTTAGATATAAACGAGTGCTTGGAGATTTAATCAGGGTAAATTTTTTTAAATTAGAAAATTAGGTGTAAATTAAATTAAAAAATAAAACAAGTGAAATACAAAAATCAGAATAAAAATTATTATCGCATTTTATTTCTGATATTTGTATTTTTCTGGTTTCTCTTGTAAATTCATCACTAAATTCAAAGTGAAAAGAACAGTCTAAATTACATTTATTAAATATGATTGACGACTTTTGCAAAAATTTTCAGTGTCCGGAACCGAACCAAGAAATCCTCGGTTCCGAACTGACAACCCTAAAAATAAATAAAATAAAAATAAAAAAAAATTTATTTTTTATTATAGCTATTAGAAAATGACCCAGCTTCGTGTTTCACTATTCACGAAAAATTAATGGTTGTTGGATTCCAGTCAGGGCGTGTTTGCATTTTTGATCATTTGGTAAGTCTAATTACACAAGAAATATAGTAGAGATGTGCGAGACTCTTGGTCTTGGTCTTGGAACCAAGACTTTTCTTGGTTTTTTTTCGGTCTTGGTCTTGGTCTTGGGGTGTTTGTCTTGGTCTTGTCTTGGTTTTATTTTTTGGTCTTGGTTTTTTGGCCTTTTTGGACCTAGTGCTTGGCCATCCAAAATCCTCAAAATTTTCGCCTGCGGCGCAGAAAATGGAAGAAATCTGGCTTCTTGAGCTCCAAAATTTTCAAAATTTTTGCCTGCGGCGCTGAAAATGTGAATTTTTTTGGCCTACGGCCTTCCAAAATTTTCAAAATTTTTGCCTGCGGCGCAGGAAAAGGAAGATTTTTGGCTTCTTTGCTTTCATAATTCCCAAAATTTTCGCCTGCGGCGCTAAATCCCACGGCTATCCCTCTTAATCTTTTGATATCACTAATATCCCGTTAATCCACCCAAACCCTCTGGAATAATAACCTATTTTATTGATTTTCCACAGAATAAATTCCCCGAAATTCTTTGAATTTCGCATAAATTTTTCGAAATTATAGATAATTGTGCTGAAGTTGACTGTGATCGTATCAAAATAACAAAAAATAAACCAAAAATTTGACCTATGGGACCTAAAAATTGTCTCGAGTTTTGTATTATTTTTGGTCTTGAGTCTTGGAGTTTTGGTCTTGATCTTGTGTCTTGGTCTTGGAAAAAATTTTGTCTTGGGTCTTGAGTCTTGGAAAAATTTCGGTCTCGCACATCTCTAAAATATAGACTTACAAGAGAACAAATGTCGGATCTGCAAAAGGTCTTGGGTAGTACATTGCCCTATGTATCTTAGAAAATTACAAATTTCCGAAAAAAAAACAATTTCCGGAAAAACATGTAAATCAACATTTTATCCACTCCATTTTGTTCCACCTATTTTTTAACAAATGTATAGCTGCTTTATGAAATTCTATTATTTTCTCTTTCACTTCCTCTTCTTTTGACATTTTAAGAGATTTAACAATGTTGTCGAACTCATATCTTCTATTGATGAGATTATATCCTAACCGTGTAGATAGAATCAAAGAGCCTTCTAAGAAATCTTGGTTTTAGAAATTTCTAAGAAAACTTATTCAAAAACACATAACTTTATTTTTTAACTTTTATTTTTTCAGGGGAATGTAAATATTGATTCTGTTTGTTTTTTTTATATTCTTTAAATAATTTTAAATTTTTCTAAAGTGTTGTCGTTATCATAAATGTGCTGTTTCCTCAATTTCAATAGATGATGCCGCTAATTATATTGTTACATGTGCAAATGATTTTAGTATTGTTATTTATGGTATTGGTTGTTCTGAATATAATCAGGTTTTTTATTCATAAGCTTCAAAAAGAATTTTTTGAGTTATTTTTCGGCTTCTAAAATTTCTTGTTATTAAAAATTTTTCTGCTTCATAAAATATTTTTTCTGCCCAATTTTCTTAATTTTTAGCGCATTCCAGTTACCCAATCTTGCAAAGTTGTAGCAATAGCAGCCAACTTTTCCCGTCCCTCTTCTGGTCAACGCTTCCTTGCAGCTAATCAAAATTTAGTTTTATACCAACGAGGGGTTAGAGCAGAATTTTTTTCTGGGAAAAGACGAGAGACCTGTCTTTATAAAGGAACTCAGAATGATGGATTAATTAATTGTTTGTCTTGGAGAGAGAATTTTGTTGCTTTTACAAATGAAACTGGAACGAGGATTTATGATTTGTAAGTAAGAAAATTTATTTTTTTACTTAATTATTGGATAGTTAGTTGAAGTTTAGATACCTTACTTTAAGGCTGGGGAGGTCTTCCTTTTCTCCGCCTAATTAAAATAAATCCCAAAATTAAAATTATATTGAGATTCCACTATGCCTTCCCCCGGAATCCGACTCTGTATCGAGGTTACAAAAATTTTCTTCCGTTTCGTTTAGATTATAATTTTATTTCCTTGCATCTCTGATCTGGATGTTTCTTGAAATTAAATTTTCCATAAATTTATTTTCTTCTTTTTTCAGAAAATTATCTCGGTGTTTGGCGCTAGTTCAACCTTTTCACAAAAATGAAAATTTCCCAATTTCTAAATTTCCTCCCAAACATGTTTGGTTAGTTTCTTTTTATTTTTTTTAGTTTTGAATTTATTTAGGTTAAATGATTCAACGTTAGCAATTGGATGGGCAAATACTGTCTGTATTTGTGCTATTGTACAAACTACTAAAAGACCGGTAAAATTTTTTTGTTTTTTTTTTCGCTAAAAATAGGATGCACATTTTATTTTACTCTAAAATTTTAACTCAAGCTTCCTTTTTTCTCAAAAAAAAATTATTTATGGGCTTAAGTAGATCCAAAAAAAGGATTTCTAAACTAATTCAGGGGCGTGTCCAGGGGTCGAATTCTAGTAATCTATAAGGAGAATTGTGTGAAACCTTTGTCGTTTAGACACAAACGCCTTTAAACTAACCATTCCTCAATTCTTTTTATTATAAAAATTTTTTTCCCAAATTTAGGGACCAAATACCTCCGATTTATTATTGGATTTACCCAAAGGACGAATTTTGCATCGATTTACATTTAACAATTTTGCTATTGCTGGCATTTCATTTACAACTCGTAGCTCTTACGGCAACGACGAAATTTGTTCATTACCTCATTCAACATTAAATTCCCCTCCAAATTCTTTAAATTCTCAATCAGATTGGCGTGAATTAATTATATTTGGAATTAAAAAGAGTGGAGGAAGAGGAGATACAAGAGAACCTAGCCTTTTAAATTTTACAACAACAAATTGTTCAATTAATGGAGAAAATTTAAATGAAGAGGTTTGTGGACTAAAATTTATTTTAAAAAAATTTTTGAAAAGGAAATTTTTTATATAAGAATCAGAAAGTAAAAAAAGCTTTTTTGATTCCAATCCGGGCCCTCTTTCAATTGACCACAGATTCTAGGCACAGAACCATAGAATTTATGTTTCAATTTTTCCAAAGATTCTTTGGTTTTTGTAAAATTTGTACGCACCACAGAATCTGACATGAGCGATAGAAATTTATTAAAACAGATTTTAATTTGATTAAAACGGACAGAATCTATGTTTTATATATTTACGAAATGCAGAATCTTCGGATCGTGCCCAGATTCGAATCAAAAAAATAATTTTACTTATTTTAGTTACTTGAAACAACCAACGAAAAGATTAATTTAATAAATAACCCTCCTCCGCCTCCATCTTCAACTTGCTCTAATGATTTTAATGACCAAATTTCTAACAACAATTTTTTCGCTCAACTCAGATTAATTAAACCAATTTCACTTCAAGAATATTCTTTAGAAGCTGAAGATACAATCGAAATGAAAAATGTTAATATAAAAATGTTAAATAAATTTGGATTGGTTTCTTTGCCGTTGGATGATATTTATATTTTGGCTGGTCCGAGAGAGACTATTGAGGTTGGAAAGGAAATTTTTTTTAATTTTTTTAATAAAAAAATTTCTTTTGAAAAGGCCCTTCCCTGTTCAATCGACAATAGAATTCAATGGCTAATGGAAAATGGACTTTTCGAAGAAGCACTTGAATCTGCTTTAAGAAACAGCGAACTTTTAAAAGAAAATTCTGTTTTGGATGTTGGGAAAAGATTATTAAATCATTTAATAGAAAAGCAAGATTTTGAAACGGCTGCTAGTTATTTGCCTGAGGTATTTTTGTGATAAACAGAAATTTTAAAAAACTTTTAGAGAATTGGATTTATATTATTCTTTTTTCGAATAAAAAAGGAAATTCTGATATTAATCAGGGTGTCCCTTTTACCCCTTTTACGGGCATTTTCCTTTTTTTGATTACGGGCATTTTTTTTTACGGGCATTTTCCTTTTTCTGCATGCCACTTTTTTATTTACCCCTTTTTGGAATTTCTGAAAAAATGGTAGAAAATCTGGCTGCTTGAGCTCCAAAATTCTCAAAAATTTTTTGTATTTTTCCTTTATTTTCACAGATTTGTTCAAAATACAAAGACGAATGGGAATATTATGTAAACGAATTTGAACACCACAATCAACAATTAAAATTAATTCCAGTCATTCCAACAAAAGATCCCCAATTAGAACCTGAAAATTATGAGTCGATATTGAATGCTGCTTTATATTCTAGACCTAAACTTTTTTATGCAATTGTTAGCCATTGGGATGCTGATATTTATAGGGCTGGTTCTCTTGTTGCTGAAGTTTTTAAAAGAATTACGACTGATAATATTAACAAAAATATGGTTAAAGTGAGGGGTTTTTTTTTAAAAATAATTATTTTAATGATTTTTAGATTTTAAATTTAAATTTGTAGGTTCACAAAGACGCCCCCAATTCAGTCCAATTATTAAGCGAAAATGATAGGGTATTAATTTTTATATATTAATTTAATAAAAATTTTAAAAAGAATTATTTACTTCGTGCTTTGGCTTCTTTACTTTTGCAATGCCGGTGTGTTTTTTAATTTTTTGTGTTTTTTTTGTTATTTTAATCTTCCGGAAAAATGGTATTTTTAAAAATGTATTCTGATTCCTTTCCGGTAAACAATAAAATAATTATTTTCCGGAAAAATAAACAATAACAAATTGTATTTTTCCGGAAAATTGTAGTTGTTAAATAAATTAATTTACTAAAAAAAATTCTGATTTTTCTAAATTTCTGTATTTTTTAAAATTGTATTTTTTCTCTTTTCAGTAAATACGAGGATGCAATCAAAACTTATATTTTGCTTCAAGACCCAACTATTTTTGGAGTTATTGATCGTTATAAACTTTTTCCTTATGTAAAAGACCAAATAATGGAATTGATGGAAATTAATCAAGATTTGGCAATTCGGTTACTTTTGGATAATGAAGATTTAATTTCACAAGATAAAGTTGTTAATTTGTTGGGGAATTACCCTAAAATACAGGTTTATATTGAAATAATTAAAAAAATTTTTTTTAATTTTTTCACAGCTCGTTTACCTTCACCGTCTACAAGCTAGAGGGGAAGGAATGTCTTATTCTAATCGACTTGTTAAATTATATGTAATTATTTATTTATTAAATTAAAAAATATTTAATTAAAATTTATTTTAAAGGCTGATCATGACCGTCCTTCATTATTGCCTTTTCTCAGGAAAAATGAACATTATAAAATAGACTTGGCATTGGATGTTTGCAAAAAAAGAGAATTTATTGAAGAGGTTTTTTTTTAATTTTTTAAAATTTGAAATTTTTTGACATTTTGAAATTTAGCATTTTGAAAAAATTTTTTGAAATTTTTTTAAAAAAATTTCTTTAGGTTGTCTACCTTTTAGGACGTACTGGAAATCGTTTAGAAGCTTTAGATTTAATGGTAAATAAATTGTTAAGAATTGATATGGCTATCGACTTTTGTGCTGAAAATGATGATTATGAACTTTGGGAACGTTTAATTGAATCTTCAATTAAAAGGCCTGAACAAATTGTTATTTTGTTAAAAAGAATGGCTTGTTTAAATATTGATAGTATTAGTGTTGTTGAAAAGGTTTTTTTAATTAAATATTCTTTAAAAATTGGAACTTTTGACGTTTTTAAAAAATTTCTTTAGGAAAATTAAACAGGCTTATTTGTTGAATTTTGGTTATTAATTGGGCAAAAAACCTTGAAAGGACTCAAACTTCTGCTCCTATTCGTAACGGACCCACTTAACCATGGAACCTTGGGAGACCCTTCGACTCTCTCAAAAACGAAAAGCACTTGACCAATGATTATTTAAATGAAAAAATTTAAAAAAATTTAAAATAGAAACAAATATTTTTTTATTAAAAAAATTATTTTTTAATTAAAATTAATTCTCTTTCAATTAAAAAGATACCAACAAATATGGATATACCTGATTTACAAAATTGTTTACTTCAAGTAATTAGAGATCATGAACAACAAAGGGATTTATTAATACATTCAAAAAATGTAGCTAATTGTGATGTTTTAAAATTATTAGAATTACAATTGAAACCTTTAGCTATTAATTTTGAATTATTAAATAAATATGAAGAAGAGGAAGAAAATAATAATAATGAGTGTTTTTGTTGTGATATTTGCAAGTAATTCTTTTTTCTTTAATTTTTATGTTGAATTAGTGGGAAAAACTCTGAAGGGACTCGAACTTATGCTCCTATTTGAGAACGGAAACCACTTAACCAAGGAATCTTGAGAGAACCTTCGACTCTCTCAAAGACGGAAAACACGTTTTGTATTTTCCGGAAAATAGAGAATTGTATTTTGAGGGGAATTGTGTTTCTTTTCCGGAAGAAAAAAAAGTCTTTTATAGTTTCCGGAAAATATATTTACTCTGGGATTGTGTTTTCCGTAAATACAAATTTATTAAATTCTGTTTCCGGAAAATACATTAATTCTGGGAATTGTATTTCTTTTTCCGGAAAATAAACTCCTTTATATTTCCGGAATCTTTGCATCACACGGAAATTTACTATACTGTTTACTTACTGTTTTCCATTTCCCGGAAGTGTTGTTTCCCTTTTACTCTATTCCTTCCGGAAAAAATAAAATTTTATAAATGTGTTTTCCGGAAATTAGTATACTCACTCTTGGAATTGTATTTCTTTTCCGGAAAATAATTCTATATTGCTAAACAAATTTTGTATTTTCCGGAAGTGTTTTTCATTTTTCTTTTTAATAAGAAAATGTATTTTCAAAATTAATTTTCTAATATTTTAGTCAAAGCATTAATGACAGCAATTCAACAGAAGAGGATACAAATAATAGCAGCAATATTCTTTTACTTGCCAATGGCAAAATAATACATGAAAAATGTACAGAAAATGGGCAACCACCAACACAGATATTTCCAAAATGTTATCCTGAAAGGATTTCTCAACTTTTAAAATTATAAAAAAAATTTTTTATTTTTCTAAGAGTTTTATTTATTTTTAAATATTTTTTTGTTGTTTATTTTTAAACGGCAATTATTTCTTAATTGTTTCTTTCATTAATTATTTCATCACCATTTTGACAAGGTGAAAAATCAACCTTGTGACAAAGTGAAAGATTTTCTATTGTTTGGCTAAATGAGTTTTTTTTATTTTTGCTAATTGACTGTCACGGATTTTGGTCAATTGAAAAATCTTTCACTATTCGACAAATTGAAATTCCTTTTATTTTTAATTTCTCTTAGCTCGTGCCCGCTCAAAGGATAGATGAATCAAAGGATAGATACGGCTAAAATCGATCAAAGGATAGACGCGGCCAAAAGCTGCTAAAGGATAGATAAGGCAAAAAACGATTAAAGGATAGATGCATCAAAGGATAGATGCGCCAAAGGATAGACCGGGGTAGAATCCATTAAAGTATAGACACGTCTAAAATTGGGTAAAACATAGATAAAGTTTGGAGTCCAGTTGAGTACCAACTGTTGAGTGCCTGATCTTTGTTTGTTTTTTTCAGATCTTTGTTCTGATTTCATGTTTCTGTTCTGATTTTTATTTTATTTGTACTTTAGTATATTCGTGGAAAAAAGTTTTTGCCGCTGCGGATGAAGCCGGGCATGTCGAGCGGAACGACGGCCGCCGCTTCGCTACGGTCGCCGCGAGCGAAGCGAGCACGACCGCAGCGAAGCACGGCCATCGTGTAGCGAAGACCATGCCCGGCCTACCCTCCGTAGCAGCACAAAAACAGTTTTTCCAGCGAAGATTCAGATTATTAAACATTTTTGTCCAGACTCAAACGACCTATTCAGCTGTCTATCCTTTGATCGCTTTTGGCCGTATCTATCCTTTAGTGCATCTATCCTTTGATGCATCTATCCTTTGATAGTTTTTGGCCGTATCTATCCTTTAGCGCATCTATCCTTTAATTCATCTATCCTTTGTAGGGGAGCCCTCTTAGCTTCTTTATTTCTTTTCTCTCATTATTTCCCTCATTCTTTTCCCTCGTGTAAATGTACTTACTAATAAAAATATCAATATATCGATCTGTGTTCACCTATACAAACATTGTGTGTCTTACACATCGACACTTTTCTTCATTTAAAATGAGCGAGTTTCTCAACATAATGGCTGATTTAACCATTTCATTTTTATTTTCTTTTTAATTTTTCTGTTTAGTTTCATGAGATAATGCTTTTTAATTTATATAAATTTAATTGAAAATATAAATAGTCATGTGTTTAAGCTTTAACACGTTTTTCTTCGTTAGATTTTTTGTTTTTTAATTTAAAAGTTTTCTTATTTTCAGACCAAATAAAATTTAAAAATTTGTGATAACTTTAATTTTATTTAAAAAAAATGGTATCAGCTAGTGAAGCAGCTGAGGAATACAGGTTATTTTTTGTTTTTTAACCTTAAATCTTTTTGTTTTTTAAGAGCAGTCCTTTCTGACCTGTCGAGGAATGACAAAACTCAAATTAATTTGCTTACAATTTTGGCAGAGGACTATGCTTCTTATTCTAGTGAAATTGTTGGAGTTATTGAAGAAACTCTCTACAAGGTTTGTTTTAATCTTTAATTGATTTCCGGGTTGTCGGGGTAATTCGTAGTTTTTTTGAGCTTCCTTGACTTGATTTCTGTGGCCTGTTTAGCTCCGATTAGATCTAAAATAAAATATCGATCTGAGAGAACTTATGTTAGAGATGAGAACATCTAAGAACATCCTAAAGCACTTAGGTAAAACGTCAGATCTTAAGGTTGGGTCGCATGCTAACAGGCTCCATGGATAACTTGATTCTTCCCTAATAGTTCTTTTACTTAACAATAAGGCTTATACCATCTCTAACATAAGTTCTCTCTGTTGTCCAATAATAGTATGTTCTCCCCCAAAATTAATTTTCCATGTTATTTTCCATGCTCTTTAAATCTTCTAGGTTGCCCGATTGATTAAACGGCTAAAAACCAATTTTCTTATTTTTTCCAATTTTTAGTGTTCTGTTCCACTCAAAATTGTTATGTTATACGTGATTGATTCAATCGTAAAGAACGTTCAAATTACTGGAGGTTATCGTGAACTGTTTGCCAAGAAGATTGTTGACATGATTGTTCATGTATTCAAGGAGGTGGACATCTCTTGAGACAATTTTTTTATTTATTTTTACACTATTTTTTATTTTCTCACACAATTCACTTCTCTCTTCCAGTCTCTTAAAAGAATCTCTTAAAAATTCTATTCTCATATTGACGTTAGATCTCGATTATTTTTAAAAATGAAAAAATTGCAGGCTTGAGATTTTGAATAAAATTGTAGGCCTGTGTAGGGATAATAATAATAATGTTTTTAAAAAAGATTAAGTGGAGCTTTTTCTGTTTTAAAGCCGAACCCGTTTAGATTTTCTTGATGGAAAAAGATCCAAAAGTTGTTTCTATCTTTACGCCCTTTTTTCTCTCTTTTCCGTCCCAAAAGTAAAAATCCAAAAAAATCTTTTTGGGGTAAAATTGTGTTTTTTGTAAGGTGAAATGCTTTCTTTAAATAAGTAAACGTGGAGTCAAACCCAATATATGTCCCAAGATGAATTCGAGCACGCCTACTTAAATTTTAACCAAAGAAGCCTCTAATTGTTTTTATGAGTGTTTTAAACGATGCTGGATTACCTTAAAAAGTTTCTCTTGGAGTTTTCTTTATCCCGTTTTTAAATTTTTTGTTTGACATTTCCTTCCAATTTTCTTTCTCTCCCAGGAAACCTTCCCTTTCCGACTTTAATTTTGTAAATTTAACCAAAAGAATCAACAACAAATACGTGTCCATTTATGTGAAATTTGAGAAGAGAAAAAATTCTCTTCGACGTTGCACAAAAATTCTTGATTTGAAAAACATGTCCCTTTATTTTTGGGACATTTTTGATGTCCACATTGCTGTCAGATTTGAAAAAGAATTTTTTGGTTTTAAATGGTTAAGAAGGGGAAGGGTAGTTAAGAAGGAGGTTTTTTAGGGTAAAGTTTTAAAGGGAATAATTGTGTATTGTAATATGAATTGAGATAACTTTGTTTTTCTTTTGAGAATTAAATTCAAAGTTAAACAATTGCTAACACCCTTTTACAAACGAATAAAAAAGATTTTGTGTTTCGACTTCTTCAATAAAAATTTATAAAGCGCGCACTTTCTTTTTTCAGATTGATCAAAAAATGAATTGCGTGGCCACGCATTTTTCTGATTTTTTTAAATTTTAAGTTAACAAATTCGTGGTTACACAAGGAATTTTTTAAAAATATTTTTGTTAATTCAAAATTAATTGCTAACAGCGCAAGATTAAGAAGCATTCTGCAAGGATATCCTGTCCACCTCTGGACCTGCCCGTCTCTGGACCACACTTCTCGAACGTGGTCACGCAACTCGTTTTTTCCAATTTTCGAATTAAAATTAGGAATTAAATCAAAAACCACTAAATTACAAAATTTACATTTTTTGTTTTACCATTGTAGGGAGACGAACGTACAAGAGCTTCAATTTACCGGCTGCGTTGCACCTGGGCTGACGTTTTCACAAAATCTAAACTTTACATGATCGACACAAAAATAAATTCTGTGGATAGGGCTTGGCCTATAATGAATCCAGATTTGAAAATTGAAGTGTCATCACAACAACAGCAACAAACATCAGGACAACAACAACAACAAGGAGGGGGAGGAGGGGGACATGTAGTACATGTTAACCCTAAATTTCTCAATGGTAAACAACCAACAAATGTTAAACAAGAAAATAAACAACAAGAAAAACAACCAGAAAAAATACAAGAAAAAAAGAAAATACAGCCTGACATTAATGGTTACAATAAAATTATTATTTTTATGTTGAGAGAAAAAAAATATTTTTTTATTTTTCGGAAATTTTGCTTTTCGAAAATAAAAGATTAAAACGTTTAAATTTGGTAAATAGTAAGGTTAATTTCCGGAAAGCTTAAAATTTTCCGGAACTGTAAAATAAATTGGAGTGTTTAATAAATATAGCTTTTCCGGAATACTAAAGTTTGCTTGGAATACAGAATTTCCGGAAAACTTTAAATTAATTCAAAATACTCCGGAAAAGCAAAATATCAAACTTTAATTTTTTCCGGAAAACTTGGTGTTTATTGAAATTAATTTGTTTTTTCCGGAAAAGATATTTGAATGTTGTGACTTATAGGGGGTTTTTGTTGGCTGGACCGATTTCGACAAATGAGGTGTCATTCGAAAGAGCTCGCCGAGCTGAGTCGATCCCGCGGGGGAAGAAGTCGATCCGACAATCAGGGACCGAGTTACAGACCCCTGAAGTTTGAAAAAGAGAAGGGGGGAGTAAGCTCATTTTGGGGTGAAAAATTCGAAAATGCAAATAATAGCTCATTCGACTCAGCTCGTCGAGCTGAGTCGAATGACACCAAAATCAGCTCGATATCTTGATTCTGAGCCAAGATAAACAGGTTCAAAATGGTCAACATAAACCTATGGAGCGTCGGCGAGGCGCTTGTGCGAAACCCCGCGCTTCGCGCGGGGTTTCGCGGCACGCGCCTCGCGGGGCGTCAACGGTCGCTGGGTCTGGGTCAGTAACATAAACCTATTCCCATCTCCCTTGTTCTGGACGTATTTGGGGCCTCCGTAGCGCAAAAACCTCAACAATGACCATAGGTAAGGAGCTAATACAAACGATCATAACTTTGTCCAATCAAGTCGTATTTTGGTGATTTTGGTTTCATTCGACTCAGCTCGACGAGCTGAGTCGAATGAGCTATTATTTGCATTTTCGAATTTTTCACCCCAAAATGAGCTTACTCCCCCCTTCTCTTTTTCAAACTTCAGGGGTCTGTAACTCGGTCCCTGATTGTCGGATCGACTTCTTCCCCCGCGGGATCGACTCAGCTCGGCGAGCTCTTTCGAATGACACCTCATTTGTCGAAATCGGTCCAGCCAACAAAAACCCCCTATAAGTCACAATACCCAGATATTTTAAGTTTCCGGATAACCTTCATTATTAGTGTAACTTTAGACATTAAAAAATTATTTTCTCTTTTTTTAGCTAACAAAACAGTCACTAATCAAATTGTAAAAACCGAAGAGGTTGATCCTGATAAAAATGTTCGTCAACGCAAAATTCCTAAAAAGGCGAAAGAAAACAACACAAACACAACAAATAAGACGACAACCACAACTAGTACAAAAACAACCAAAGAGAGTGTGGGTGTAAAATCCAAAGAAAACACTAATCTTAAGGTTTTTTAATTTAAAAATATTTTTAAACAAAAAAATCTTTCAGAAACCTGAGTCACTCCTCTCGTTGAAACTTGAATGTCCACCTCAACAACCTTCACAACAACAATCATCGCAACATAAAGGAGGAGGGCCTCCAACTAAACGTCCTAGAACAACAACAACTGCTCAACATAGCAGCAGTAATGTTAGTAATAAATCAACTCAACGGTCTGTCAAGCCTCAACAACCTCGAGTTTCGAAACAAAATGTTCGTAGTTTTTTTAGATTTTTAAACTCCCGTTTTTTAAAAGTTCCGAAATTGTAATTTTTTTCGGTCAGTTTCCATTTAGGAAAGGTTTTCTTCCTTTTTTTCCGGAAACATTCAAATTCAATATTCTGTTTAGAAAACCTTGTACTTGATTATATTTCTAGGCTTCCGGAAAAATCTTCCGAAAAACTAGCAATTAGTCTTTCGGAAGAGATGTAATTAAATACAAGGATTTCTAAACAGAATATAATCTGGTGACAGTTCGATATTTTTCCTTGAAAGTGTTTTTAATAACTGTTTGAATTTTCTAAAAATCTTATATTTATCAACATTTCCAGGTTCCTGAGCCGTCCCGGGCTCTGGGCGCACATGCATTCAACGTGGTTATGACTTCTCAACCCCAACCTACACCTTCATTACAACCACAAATTCCACCACAACAATTACAACAACCGCTTCAACAACCCCAACAACAACCCCAAATAGCACCACCACCCCAACTTCAACACCAACAACAATTTCCACCACCACAAATACCAACATCTTCCATTACTGACCAACAACCACAATTAGTAATGATTCCGCAAGTTTCCACTGCCCCTTCAACAAATTTGCAACAACCGCCACCATTTAACAAGGAAATTCCTCCACCTCAAATAACAACGATGAGTGGAATTCCTCAACAACATAACTTTCCTCCTCCTCCTATTCAAAGTAAACTATAAAAAATAAATTAATAAAATCCTTCCGGAAACTTAAGTTTGCAAATAAACTTTTATTTTAGTACAACTTAATAATTGTTCCGGAAACATTTCCGGAAAATAATATAGACGACAGACATTAAAATACTTGAAACCTTTCCGGAAACTTAAGTTTACAAATTGTTTTTAGTAATATTTTAATACAATCCATTACTTTTTTAGGAAAGCTAATTAAAATACAAAAGACATTTCCGGAAGCCATTAAACCCTAAAAATAAGCTAACAATAAATTAAATAATTTAGATATTCAACATAACATCCAAAACGTTACCCCGCGTTTACCGGGTGTTCCGGAAAACAATCGGATTTTTGTTGATGGAAAGGCTTATGAGGTATTTTTTAACTAAAAAATCTTGTTTTATTTTCCCTCAAAAAAGGTATTTTATCTCGACCAAATAGCAGTCATTGAACGGAATGGTCTTCCACACCGTGTCTCATTTGCTGGTCCATCTCGTAACGTAACAATTGATGGAACGCCTTATTGTATGTCATTTGGAGAGCAAAAACAAGTCTTGATAGATGGCCAACTTCATATTTTACGTTTTGGCGGTCCTTCACGTGAACTTTATATGGGCAACTTTCCCTTCAAAGGGGCATTTGGTGGTCCACCAATTAATGCAACTATTAACGGAAGGAGGCATGAAATTCGTCTTTGTGGCCCTCCTCCAGAAGTTAGAATTGACCCGGAGCCGAGTTATGAATTAATGAGATATATGCCTGCAATTAGACAACAACAAATAATACCTCAACAAAAGCAAATACCCCAACAACCCAAAGTGGAAGCAAAGAAAGGTGGGAATAAAATTAATTTTATTGTTAGATTATATGGGAATCTTTTTTTTGAAAAAATTTTTGAACTGATACAGTTGAAATTGAATGAATTAAA